AAACCTAGCTGTGGGAGGCTTTAACCCTTCAGGTTTTGCCTTTCCTTCGTTAAACTCTTGCAATATCTCTCTTCTCCAGGAGGAGGCTGATTCTTCCCAGCAAAAGAGGATGAATCGTGTCCTTCCGTTTCCACTGCTCACTTTATAACGCCTGCTCTCCTCAGTTCCTTCTGCTGCCCAACTTTGTGTGGCTTTCCACACTGTAGTTACAGCAATTTGGTGTTTCAGACCTTGTCATAGAGGAAGACAACGCATCTCCAGAACCAAATATATCCCCAGCTCTCTGGTGACACTTGGCACCACGGCCTTGCAAGCCAAAGCACTCTCCTGACATGAATGCAAAGGCTTTGCTGAGAGGTGGAGTGATGGTAGAGTCCCAGGAGAGGTGAACAGCTGGCACGTCTGAGCAGTCACCCAACAGATGCAGAGGGCTGGAGAAAAGGGACCATTCTTTGGTCTGTGGCAGCACTTGGTCATGACCTGGGAGATGGAAAAATTCCTGCCTTCATTCCAGAGCTCAGTTCTGCCCTGGATTGTTGTGTGTGGTGTTTGCCCAGAGGTTTAAGTGGCAGCGACAGACTTTTCCCCAAAATGTGTGGTTGGTTTTGCTTTCTGCTCTTCACCACGGGCACTGCTGATGCTTGTGGTTTGTCCTGAGCACTTAAGCTGCTTGGGAGAATTGCTTGGAAATAGATGCCAACTTGCAGGTCTGGCACCTTGCGTCTCCAATAAGCCTCACTTACCTTGTAACTCCTTTTTCTTTCAGTTTGGTGACCTCACATCCCTGTCCCCAACACTGCTGGACAAAGGTACCTCCTCTCCCTCGAGGGAAGTCCTGCTGGGTCAGGGTTGAATCGCTGGTTGGCGGGGGGGGAACCTCGTGCTGGCTCTTCCACCCCGCTCTGTTGGGAACCTCTTCCCCTCCAGTCACCGCTCTCATGCTGAGACCTCTCCTTTGCAGATGACATCAGTGACCTGGGCAGTGAGGTGGACACGGACTCCCGGAGCATGGGGGAGCCGCTGGTGAAACGGGAACGCAGCGACCCCGGCCACTCGCTGCAGGAGATCTGAAATGGGGACTCGGCTTTTCTCCAGCCGGATGAAGACACCGGGAGCCAGGTTTGGTGGTCGCAAGCCTGAGTCTCCCCGTCTCTGCGTTATTAGTGCCTCTTAGTTTCTCTTTATGTTTACTTGTGTTTGAGGACGGGCTCTGGGGGTGAGCCCGGGCGGGCAGTGGGACAGGGCTGGTTTGGCCACCTGCTCTCCTCCAGCGTGACCGACGGCCGGAGGGTGAAGGTCCAAAGTCTGCTGCCGAGCGGTGGAAGCCTCCGTGGCCAACGGCGGATCGGATGTGCCTGGCTAGAAGAGGCTGTCCTCTCCCGCCTGAGCGAGGCAGGCAAACGAGGCTTTCTCTTTCAGGGAAGGTGGTTTGGGTTTCTTCCCCACTTCTCAGACTTCACTGTGATACAAACTTGAACCAATCAGTGCCCAAGAAGAAGGAAAAATGCCTGACCCTTCTCCTCCTTCAGCTGTCCTTTCGAGACAAGCTGTCCTGGCTCTGACTTTGCCAAATCGTTCGCACCAGGGAGCGCGGGACGGGCCGTCCCTCTTGTACCCGCCTGGGGAGGGGGCTCCAGGCTGCCCCTCCGTCGGGTCCCGGCGGAGCGGTGCGGGTGGACGCTCTGGCACTGACACGTGTGTGCTCGGGACTACGGGACAAGCGTCCCCACCTGCTCCCGTGTCTCCCCAGCCCGGCGTGTCATCGCGAGTGCTCCCGGGACACTTGTCAGGCCGACTCAAGATACCAAAGGACTCCGAGGAAGCAGCAGCTGGTCGCAAAGCGTGTTTGTTGCCCCCTGCGCTCTGATGCCCGTGGGCAATCCCACGGGCAATCCCCATCCTCGCCAGAGCGCCCAGGCAGAGGGGAACTGGTCCCGTGTCCTGGGTTTTGTAAAATCCTCGCTTGGTGTCCTGCTGAGATGGTGAAGGGGGGGTGCAGCTGCCTGCGGGGCTGCAGCCGGAGCATGGGCGAGGGTGTGCGACTGCAGTGCCTTAGGGCGGGCCGGCGGGCCCCCCTCCCCCCCGCCCTGGGAGCGCCCGCGGGCGC